GGTCGCCTATCCATTCTAAGGTGCCTTTACTACCCCGTTATAACCTACTAGATGGCAAACCCGGCTCCGCCCGGGGCCAAACTTTGCACACATACACTTCGGGGCAGGGAGGGGGGGTGATCAGCATGTTCGATTACCCCCCTGTGCAAAATCCCAGCCCCCTAGCTCAAATTTTGCAAAAAATCGATAAAATCGATATCGATCGATAACGAAAAGTAGCCTATGACACGCTCCCTGCCCCGAAGTATATGTGTGCCAAGTTTGGTCCCGATCGGTTCAGAAATAAAAATTTCTATTCCGCACATACGTACAGACAGACATACAGACATACATACAGACAGACATTCAGCTTTATATATAAGATTAAACAGGAGCGGATTGTCGTTTGCGCCGTATTTTCCTGCTTTTTTACGATCCCGTGGTGTTTCCTGTTTTCTGTTCCTTTCGACTTCATCAAGTCATTTTTCTTGTTCAAGATTCATCAAGCCTTTTTAAAATTGTACTGATTATCTAAGTTAAAAGTGTTAAGCATGTGTCTGATAGCAACGTGACCTATTAGAATATTGAGATTATCGATAAGTCCCGAATTCGACTTGTGGTTCATCAAGATTTATATCATTTCCATCTCAAACAATCCGCAGAATACTTCCGGGAAAAACTGAGCTTCTAAAAACTCTGGCGCGGAGCTCTCATTGGGCCGTGTGGGTGGACCCCGCCCTACCTGACCGCACCCTGTTCTGGAAGCTCCAATAGGAGTGTCCCCTCGGAAGATTTGGAAGTTCTGTTTTCCCCGGAAGTATTTTGCGAATTGTCTGAGATTGTTTGTTCTTTTTGCAAACATGACTAGCATTGTTGAGTTAGGTAATCATTTCATTTTGAGTTTTCTTCATAACTTCGAAGAAACAAAGGCGACTGTGAAGAAAAGGTTAGGCTGCCGGAATGAAAAGAATCTTGCAAAAAGCTGAAGATTGCGCCTTGTACAACTTCTAGCTTTAATACGTTTGTAAAGCAATAAGAAAGTCATAGACATTTGAACATGCACAGTTTTTTCTCCATTAGAATCCGAAATAAAGGATAGTTAAAAATTGTTAAGGACTGCTTTTTCTAACACTAGGCTGCGCCCTTCAGCGTAGACAAACCAGGAAAAGAGAAATCTTTCTAGTTTTGACTTTCTCTTGGTTTCCATAATCTATTGCCTCGAGAAAAGCTTCATAACTTGATTATGAGGGTTCCTAGGTTACTATTATACATTAGAGGCCAAAAAAATGCGGACAAGCCTCCCTCCTTTTTCCATCGCTCATTTTCAGATAAAAAACAAAGGAAAATTGATGGAGCTTTTGAAAATTTACAGCTCACACATCTTACGACACGATGTCTCTTAAAAAACATTGCTTCCAGAATCTTTTACCAAAAAATCCAATTTTGCTGCATCACAATGCGCGGACAATAATTTTTCAAACATCAAAAAATTTTTGGGTTCTACTTGAAGCGAAACAAGTAATTCGAAAAGTAAGCATACCATCATATAAAGTTCATCAAGTACTTCACTATGCTTACAAGGGAAGGATACCATATCGCAGTGGACAATTGAAATGATGTGCATATCATTAGACGCATCATGATGAGTTGATTAAATCTAACTTCCAAATCTGCTATGCTCTTTTCTGGAAGAGGTTATGAGCGTTTGATTGTCCAAATTTGACAAGCATTCAGTGCCACATCTTCAAAAACTACTTATAGAGAAACGCTTATTCATGTGTTCGGTGTATGTATGCATTCCTTGTAGTTAATGCACCCAAAACTATGACAATTAATCACTCCCAAGCTAGTTTTTGAAGCACATTACGCATCAAAATCCCATTAACTTCACATCTTTAAACGCCCATAGCTTCTTCTAGAGAAGATCGTAGCAGATAAGAAAGGTGGATTTGGAATCAGATCATCAAGACGCATCTAATGCATATCATTTCGGTTCGCCACTGCGACCTGGTATCCTTCCCTTGTTAGTTCCTCGAAAAACACAGGCTTTAAATTTCAATTTCCATTCTTAGAAAATTACTTTAATTCCCCTCTTTCAACCCAATTTCTTTACATGGAAACCGATTCCAAGCATTTTTTGCATCGGACGTGTGCTAATGGACCCGCTGTTGAGAATAGCTCTTAAAGCGCGTACTACTTTACCTGCACCTCACCACTAATTTGTACCACTTTGCAGGCCTGTAGCTCGGCCAGACGTCACTGTTGAGCCCATACGTAGGCTCAATCGGAAGAGCGAGACTTTCTCCACACGAGCTTTGCAAAACTATGTTTGATAAAGCTGAACGTTTCGAGAATGCGATTTATGAAGTGCAGCCTTAGTGGTTAGCTTGGAATTTCTTATGTGAGGTTAAGCGAAACTCTTTTTGTTACCAGCTCTTGGGAGTTCGAAATGACAATTTTCTCGTAATAAATCAATCTCGAAATTCTGCGACGGTATTGTGGTTGATAAGAGCTCAAGCCAATATCACCACAAACATCACCGTGGCTGTTCTTTTTCAACACTATACTCAAATTTCCCAGGTTTCTTTCAAATATATCCTTCTTGTCATCTATCGAAAAAGTCTCGCTCTTTCGAATGAGCCTACGCAAAGACTCACGCAGTGACTACTGGAAGAACCATTTATTTTTCGTATAGTTTCGTTGGGATGCCTTGCAGTTTCCATGTGAACGTCCGCAACTTTGTGACGCGGCCATTTTTAGACTTTTTTCAACAAGGAATTTTCAAATTTTCCGGTCAATGTTTCCAGGAACCGTCGTGTGTGGATTGTAGCTCTTGAAGTATTCTAAGTACATCCCATGCATTCAAATCAGTTTTTCGTTTTTGTTTTCCATCTGGAGCAGGGCCCGGCACGCGTTGGTTTGGAGGTTTTTAGGAAACGAAGTCCCCCATGACTTCGCGAAAATTTAAGAAGTCCCTCTCGATGTGAAAACCAGTAGGGAAACCCTTATTCAACCAAAATAGCAACAAAAAAGCGAAAAAAGCGCATTTTGAGGTATGTATTAGGTTGTGTAAAAAGTTCTGTCCCATTTTTTCTTTCGATTTTTTCTCAATAATTTGCGCGATATTCTATAAATTGTTCATATGCTTTTGAAAGTTCTAAGCCTTTTCTACTAAAACTTTCATTTCGGTTTTCTACATCAGATGACTTGAAAAAGTTTTACAGCGTCAAATTCGAAAAACCAAACAGGGAAAAAGTCCATTTTCGACAACTACGTTACGTTGCCTTCCCAATTAGTCAGAATGCCTACGAATAAGCTCGAAGAATTTGCTACACGTAAGCAAAGAATGCTCTAGCTTCTATTGCGCTTCAGGAGTCTTGAAGCTTTTCAAAAATCATTTTTGTAGACTTTAGAAAATTCTTCTTTCTAACGCCTTTTCAACGTTGGTGTTGGGCATTATCTGAAGGCATCCTAAGGGAAGACGGTAGGCGGATCATCCAGAAAGGACAGAAGGGATGGTTTGTGGCTTTAAAATTATCAAATTCGTAGGTTAAATACTCAAAATTCGAATTTTGGGAGCAACACAGCTTGCGTACGCGAGACGGCGAAAATCGCCGTGACAAAGTCTTGCCTTGCCGACTTTTAGAAAAATGTCATTAAATAGCCGATGGAAGAAAGTGAACATGCGCAAACAGTGATAGAATAAGTGCCAAAGTCTAATAGATTGTTCTGGTTGTTGTCAAGCTTGTTTCATAAGTTTTACCAATAAAAATCGAGAAAAATTTGGAGGAAAAAAGATGTCGAAAACTGATTTTTCGGCTCTTTGGATTTTTTATTTCAATGATAAAAACTTTTTCAATTTCCTGCTATATTGCTGGATGATGCGTATGAGCCTGTAGAGCAGACTTAGAGCTTTCAAAAGCATATACACTTTGTCTCGAATATAGTCAATTTGTCGAGAAAAAATTGAAACAAGAAATGGGACAGAACTTATTACACGACCTAATAATATAAGAAAAAAGCAAAAAGAAAACATTTCGAGCCGATTAAAGGCTCTGCCATTGAGTATAGTACCATTTTGATGCTGGGAATGTCGAAAATCTCCTAGGCCAACCAAATCTGTAGCCTCAACAATCCTGCGATGCATTTTTCGCCACATATTAAAAAGGACTCCGCAAGTGATTGGAGCGCGATATCTATCAACGCGTAGAATTATACTACTTTTGACTCAAAAAAAGGGGAGAGGCAACGGTTTGATCCGCTCTTTTCACTATATGATAGATTTTTGACCGTTCTAATCGTCCAAATCAAAAAGGTCTAAAACTTATGTGAACTCTCCGATATTTATGCTCCGAACCAACCCAGTTGGTTTGGTAGTTGGTCTAGAAACCAACAAATCCGAGAACGGATATTAGGACACATAAGTTTTGGGAACTTTTTACATAACATAGTTTGGAGTAATATTGTGTACATATAGCCCAAATTGGGAGCCATTTGATTGTCTGTGCGCTGTAAACAAGCCGTTTGTTTGAGTCTTGCATTTGAAATTCGCGCGCTTGCGAAAGAACACGTTCAACTCGTGAAACCTGACATGTTCGTCGTGTTTTTTTGGCGCTTCCTCCAGGACCTCATAAAAACGATGTCCCCGTTGCTTCTAACTCCAAAAACGAAGTCCAGTTTGACCCCAAACCATTGGTGCAGGGCCCTGATATGGAGCGATGAAAAAAGGAGGACCTATTGTCTGCAACTTTTTGGCGGTCGTTGTATGTCGATGAAGGAGAGAGGGCCTGTAGAATGTCTTGGAGTAAAGTTTTCTTTGCTGTAATCAGATCACATTTTGGCTCCAAACTTTACGCTGATTGATTACAAAGTGTGGATGTCTGAAAATAGTCATATAGCCATTACTTTCGCCCTTCAAATTTAATTTCTTCTTGGACCTTAAATACATATTATAGTAAACGCGAAGAGGCTTACGCAATTTGGAATCATTTATAAGTACTGAGAATATTTATTTCAATCTCTCAATATAAACAACTAATAGTTTCTCCTTTCGGTTTCATAGAAAGCTCCAATGAGCCAATGTTGTAGTATTTCACCGCCTTTTTGCCGGGAGTGATATACTCTTTCGGAATATAGATGCTAACTTTTCTGTAGCAGCGCTGAAACGAAAAGGCACACCAAAAGCTCTTCACCTGAGTACTGCTTACCCCTTTATAATTGCATTTGTGATAAATATTCAGCTTTGGATCGATCTTGGACCATTCTTTAGCACTGCCAGTCAACATAAAAGTCCCATCCGTGTCGGTATTTCCTTTCTGCAGCTTTCGATTAAATACTAAAACAGTTTTTGTTGATAATAGGCTTCACTATGCAATATGATCTTCACTGATTTCTGCATCTTCAAGCTTCATCTTCACTCCACTGGCGGGCACTCCTTTACACTTGAGCTTGCCTATCACTCCAATCGACTGCGTTGTACCAATAAGCCCGAAAAGCGTGCAGTAGCTTACGGGAATTGTTAAAAGTAAGAATATGACCTGCATCTTAAAAATGTATTAGTACATGCAAAAGTTTCATACTTTCTGTGACATGAATCCCTTTAGAATCAAACAATTACATTTAGTAGTGCTCGATGCAGAAATTCTTTTGCTTTTATGCAGCTGCGTTCTCCATATGAGTCTTTGAACGAATGCAGAAACTATTGCGGGAGTTTACAAATTTTGTTCCTACCATGTCTTCCATCTTCGAAATTTCATATGTTTGCTTGAATCTTTTGAACATAATCTGATAGCTGCCTCTATAACTTGTCTTTTGGAATTCCTAAAGTAGTTTTTTCGAAGTGATAGCTTTATATTATATGTAGTCATTTCTCTTAATACAATTTTTTCTCTCCTATTTGATAACTATTTTTTTGCGATATATGCGAAATTTGTAGCAAAATAGCCGCATCTTTCAGTTTTACGGGTGCACACTGAATTACTGATCATCGCTTACGAAGTTTTGAAATACAGAGGTTAGTACAGTACCTTGTAAACTATCAAGAAGATCCAAGTGTTGAGATTCTGCAATTTTTGTGAAATCATGTATTATGCAATCTTCTCATGACTCAAGATTTCTGGAGATCTAGGAAATGCAAAAAGTATCTCTTATTGGCTATCAAAACAAGAAAGCTTCAGTTTCAAACAAATTTTAAAAAATTTTCAAAGTCTGAGATGAAAGCATTGGTGATTTTGTGGCAGTTGTCTCATAGGACTGCTAAGCGAAGCTGCTGCAAGCAGCAAGAATTTCTTATCGGATACTGCTTGAGGTGTTTTACGGGATTTACAGGTGGGTTTAATAAAAGGAAGTTTTGCACCAACCTAGGAACACAGTCAAGATAATCAAAATGGACACAACATAAGCACAAGAAAGTCGATCATTGCGGCAATGATTTCAATTTATGTGCACAGTCTTGGCTCTAGACACCAGATTTGCTCACAAAGCTGGACAAGTTATTTATTAGCTTAAAATGAGTGGTAATAGACGAATCTCTGTCACAAGTGGTATTATGCCGTCCCTGCGCTTTGAATAATCAGTCCTTATTAGGACGAGGTTTGTACTTTTGTCATCTATGAGTAAAAAAGCGCTGCCGTTGCAGGCTGTCAGCGTTATCCTTGTTGAGTTACTTGCAAATTAGAGGCCCCTTAGTGTTTACGAACTAAACAGTCGATTTGGAAGAGAAATTTTGGCCGTCTAAGGTGCAAGATAAACGTAAAGGACACCCCTAACCTTAAGCGTCAACTCGTACATAATGGTGCTTACGATAGGATGTGCAGACCATAGACTGAGTAATATGTCCGTTTGGCAAGGAGGGAGACTGCATGGTGTTGGGACACAAGTGTACTTTATCACTTCTAATGTAGAGGCACGTATATCCACGGGGCACCCTCTATGTACACGGATCAAAAACATCTAGACGGACTCAATAAATCGAATACGGCAACTCCATTGGGAATGCATCGCAAGCACTTCCATAATGACGCAAACAAAGGTGTAAAGTTCACGATCTTAGCACGCGAATCCGAAATCTTAGCTTGCAAGACATTAGAAGCGTTTTGGCGCCGCCAAAATTCCAAATTTGAAAGGAAGACTGAGTACACAGCTATTACCAATGAGTTGGCCGTTTATCAGAGCCTTCGTTTCTATTGAGGTGTCAAGTGCTAGGTCACTAAGTACTATAAAAGATGTTGGAGTTTAGCTACTAGTTTAGGTCAGCTGATAAGCAGTCATCAGCTGTTTAGGTGAGCACTAGTTTAGTCTGCTTTTGCCTTTATAGCTTTTGGCTTACTGAGGTAAGTGAATGACTTTCAGGTCTCTGAAAAAAACTTTGTTGCCGAAACCGAATGAGGCCGAATAATACAATTACGTTAGAATGTCTGGTAAGAGAAGCTGCCAGTCCCTCAAATACAGGGTGTCCCAAAAAATGTTTCGAACGTTAAATCGTTAATATCTCTCTTCCCAAGAAGTCTTTTGTCCTGCTTCAGGTACCGTTTTGTAGAGCTGGCTTCAACTTAGATTTGCATTATAAAACGAATCACCCATCTCTCTTCATTACTGTAGGATTACGGTAGAAACTTGAAACATATGGTGTCAATGTGGAAAAAGCTGCCGTTTCAGTATTTTTCAAAAAATTGTGAAAACTTGTGTAATAGGGTTTTTATAGACGCTGAGTTCAATACTCAACTATTCACAAGATTACGAAGCTTTCTAAACGGTGTAATCGCACTTTTTAGGAACATTGAAAAAAAGGCCGCTACCTCTCACCTGGCATAACTCTTCAATGAAGCATCATAATAAGTTGGGAACTTTACAGTTATAATCAGCAATTCTAATTAGCCTGGTGTAAAAGTTTTCAGGCTGTTTTGTTCCCTTTCTGAGGCAAAATATGGCCTTTCATGGTTCAAAACCCTCTTTGAAGTTTCTACCGCAACCCTACAGTAATGAAGAGAGATGGGTGATTCGTTATATACTGCAAATCTATGTTGAAGCCAGCTCTACAAAACGGTACCTGAAGCAAGGCAAAAGACTTCTTGGGAAGAGAGATATTAACGATCAAACGTTCTAAACATTTTTTTGGGACACCCTGTATGCTTACTGATGTCCATATAGTCAACATTTTCGATACCTCATTATTTCCATGTCACTCACATTAGATAGGGTATTTCAATAACAATATTTTTTTGACATTTTTTTTACCGAAACATGCTTCGAGCACGAGAGTGAATGTATCAGGGTAGCAAAATCACGAGGAAGGAAAGAAAGCAGAAGGTCTTGTACTTACAAATTAGGGTGGCAAATGTAATCCTGTGTTCTGAGGTGTCATCTATTTTTTTTCGAAAGTTTTCATACTAATCTTTATCAAGTCTAAAATCCATACAATATATACATATAAATCTCCTTTCAGAAACCTTTCTTTCCTCTTTCTTAGGACTTGAAACAACACAACTTTTATACTACGCTGAACCATACAATACCGCTCACATTTTTTGAAAAATAGACGCTAATCTACATACATGTCGCTACATGTATAAACATCACCGTTGCGTGGCCATATCTCGCTTCAGTATGAACGAATTCTGAATCCAAAGCCACCATTCGATTCAGTTCGGGGCGGAGAATCTTCTGATATATTGGAAGTGGAGGTACGATGTCTTCGATATTTTGTTTCCAGTTTTTTCAAATTCTTCTGCGGATGTCCTTTCTCGAATATGTGAAGCAGCGCCTATCCAACATAGAAGACTTCACTAAGTAATATTCGATAACACGCTAGATTATGGTGTGCTAAATAGTAGCCGCAGATTTCTTCTCAAAGGAAATAGAATGGCTGGTGAATTGTGGAAAAAACCTTTTGTCGTCCTAAATTCTACTCGCCATAGCCCCAGCATACGAAGCTATCTTGCTAAGCAGATGGGAGTTTCAAAATCAGCAGTTCGGATAACCTCTACGAGCAAGTAATCCGATATGTTCGGGTTATTTCACTTTTTCGTTTTACGCTCTGGAAGCTCGCCGATGGATTTTGGTCAAAATGTTGATGCTCTTGAAATGTAGGGAAACTTCGCTTATAGAGGTTATCGAACACGCTCTTTACGAAAATTGTGGTCTTTGAGGATTACAGGGTCTTTTTGGAGAGATACGGTGAGGTGACTGTAACTGCATCACGAAAGTGCGTAACTTTGCCCGCACTTCTCGCATATCTGCAGAAAACTTGCCTGCTTGCTTTTTTTTAAATTAGAGGCACTGGGCCATCGAATAGTGCATGTTATAGGTTACATTCTGTAAAAATCCCCGAGTTACGAGCCCGCGAAAACACGCCCTCATGAATTTCGATCAAAATGTAAAGATCGTCGAAATCCTTCCATGAGCGCTTGTACAACACGCTGATCAAATCTTTTCACATTTTTAATGGATCTTATTGTGTTAGATTTGGTGCTTTGAGCTTTAGCCACGAAATAGCTCTGATATTCAATTGAGCAGCTGAAGCCCACGCAAGCACCATATTCAATACAGTAGGAGTCTTTGGGCGAAGCGAACATAATATCCGCAACAAGCTTCATACAAACATTCACGGTGGAATTTTGACGAAATATGTGATCTTTACATTTTGGGCAAAATTCATGAGGACGTGTTTTCGTGGGCTCGTAACTCGGCGCTTTTTACAGAATGTAACCTAAGACATGCACTATTCAATGGCCCAGTGACTCTAATCTAAAAAAGCAAGCAGGCAAGTTTTTTGCAGATATGCTAGAAGTGCGGGCAAAGTTACGCACTTTCGTGATGCAGTTACAGTCACCTCACCGTATCTCCTCAAAAAGACCCTGTAATCCTCAAAGACCACGATTTTCGTAAAGAGCGTGTTCGAAAACCTCTATAAGCGAAGTTTTCTTACAATTCAAGAGCATTGACATTTTGACCAAAATCCATCGGCGAGCTTCCAGAGCGTAAAACGAGAAAAAGTGAAATAACCCGAACATATCGGATTACTTGCTCGTAGAGGTTATCCGACCTGCTGATTTTGAAACTCCCATCTGCTTAGCAAGATAGCTTCGTATCCTGGGGCTATGGCGAGTAGAATTTAGGGCGACAAAAGGTTTTTTCCACAGTTCACCAGCCATTCTATTTCCTTTGAAAAGAAATCTGCGGCTACTATTAAGCACATCATAATCTACAAAAAAGTACTATCGAAAGATCCTTGCTGGTATTTACTCAGGACAATGCTCGCTACTTTACACCTTCGCGAAAAGACGTCTGCAGAAAGATTCAAGAATACTGAAATCGAAATATCAAGGACATGCTGTATATGAGAAGATTCGCCTTGATGAGCTGAGCAAGGCCGTATTTACGGATTCAAAAAATACTTATTCCGAAGGAAGTTATGGCGAGTAGAATTTAAAAACGCGTGATTTATCCAGAATTCACCAACGCTTCCATCTCCTTTGGAAAGAAGTCTGAGCCTATTTTTTTAGCGCACAATAATCTACAAAACAGTGTTATCGAATAGTACTTAGTAAAGTCTTCTTTGTTGGATAGGCGCTGCTTCACATATTCGCGAAAGGACCTCCGCAGAAGAATTTGAAAAAACAGGAAACGGAATATCGAAGACATCGTACCTCTATTTCCAATATATCAGAAGATTCTCCTCCCCGAGCTGAATTAAATGGTGGCTTTGGATTCAGAATTCTTCCACTCTGAAGCGAGATATGGCCACGCGACGGTGATGTTCATACATGTAGCGACATGTATGCACCTTCGCGTCTATTTTTCAAAAAATGTAAGCGGTATTGTCCAAGCGAGATATTAAATAGAATGTTGTTTCAGAGTGTTGGTTTGCAGAAGTCCCGATAGCGCAGTTTGGATTTCATCGATCGCAATCATGCAGTACTTAAGCTGTTTTCTCAAGGAGGCTGAATCCTTGCAAAGATGAAAGGATATCTTAACTTATTGTAGCACGTTTTGCCGAAAAGAGAGCAAAAGAAGACGATTCGGTCAGAGAATGCGGAAGAGCTTATAGGTTGTTATAAACGCTTTATATTTGCACATTCGAATGAATTATGAGGGGGTTGTCCTTATTTAATCAAGTCCGTTACGGTTTACGGTGAATTAACAGAATGCATTACTGCCTTGAAAAGAATGTGGCGGAATCTACCCCCAAATAATTTTCATTTATCGATCGATTTGTAATGCCCTATACTGATGGAGGATCAGAATTCAAAATAAACCGACTGGTCAGATTGACTCACACAGCTAGAATTCTCCATCACTCGGAGAGAGTAAAACTTGCATTGGGAAAAGTGACCTCAGCGTAGATAAGGTGTTATATCTTAGCATTAGCAGACGGTTATCAGGACATTAACGATAGAATCAAGCTTTGTCCACAGTTGCCCGACCTGTGCCAACGCTGCATCGTTATGCTAGAACAGCGGTGTTCCAGCGTCAGCACAGGGCTGCCGGAGGTCCCAATGGGCATTTCATTTGATAAGGTCAGGGTCAAGCTTGTGATGCGACTGTCGCAATGGGGTCGTAAAAAAGAGATCTAAGGTGGGGGGGGGGGTTGCAAGAGGAGGTAGTTAGGCTAAAATACCCTAAGTTCAAAAGGGAACCAAAAAGCAGATAATTAGTTATGTTCTTTACAATAAATCTATAAAAAAGTGGAAGAATAAAAAGATAAAAAAATCTGTAGAAATTTCCAAAAAAAACATAAACTCAAAATACTTTAAGGATGTATAATTTGATAAAAATGCTAAATGTACCGATTGCCTTAAAAATCTTGCTTCTGAAGCCTTCCTGAAATCCCACACACTCAACAAAAACGCACATCTAATTCAATTATGATAATTCGTAAATCTTTTTGTAATGCCATTTATACGGCCCTTACATTATATGTACTTTGGATAAGCCCTGCTATTAATGTGCTAAATCCGGTGCTATTTTGTAAACTGTGGATTTTCTTATGATTTTATGTATGGTAGCAAAAAATCAGGAAAGGGGGGTCGTATCTGGGTCGCATCTAAATTTCTTCGGAGCTATCGAAGCTTGTTGGCTGCAATTTTGCTGTGATATGAGGCCATCCTCCTACTTTCAGTCATAAAAATTGCAGGCTGTTTTATAACTTCTCTGGTAAGTTACAAAATCTTAAGGCCAAAAATCCCAGTTTTTGCTTTTTAGGATCGCATCTAAATTTGCTAGAGTCGCATCTAAATTTTTTCGAGCTCACTGCTCTTCAAGGGCTGAAACTTTTTCTATGGATAGCCTGGGCACTATGCTACAGAACCTGTGCTTTGCAGCCTCCCAGTCTTTTACTGGCCTTAGTTACGAATTTTCAAACTCCCGTGCTCATGCACATTTTTGACGTCGTTCTGGACGGCGCTAAAGCGGTTTTTTTTCGCAGGAAAAACCGTGGAAGAAGTAGGAAGTAATCTTCTTAGTCGGAAACATTGTAGTTCAAGAATGTCATTTTTTTTCTCCTTGCAAAAATTTGTGTCGCATACGGGAATCGAATTTGCTGGTCTTAAGTAAAAAAAAATGCCTGAAAATTTTAAAAAAAAACTTGCAGAATCTCAAACATTATTGAAGGTGTTTATGTGTGCTACAGATGCTGGGCGCACCCATTGGCCTAGAAATTCTGCTTCCGAAACCTCACTGAAGTTTTCACGCAGGTGTTTTTTGAAATTGACATTCGTTTTTGCAGGTTACCGCGAGGAATGTGGACAGGGGAGGTAAGGGAGATAGACGGGGAGGGTGGGGGGGGGGGGGGGGGGTCGTACGGATGGGTACCTTCAAGGGGAGGGGGGTCATAAATGAGGGTCCCGGATCGCATCAACACGCTTGACCCTGAATAAGGTGCGGAATATTGCTGTGGTCAAAAAGCTCCTTCAATTGGAAGTGTTCGTATACACGGACATTTGTGATTAGCTCGCGCAGTAGATCCGCCTATAAAGCGGAAGATCGCGAAAAAGATGTATCATCATCCTAATTTCATCATTTACCCTGATTTTTGATTTTTACACGTATAGGCTAACGGATCCGATGTTCAACATATCCTTGCGGTGTGGACATCCGCCGACAACAGTGAAAGTTGCCAAGGGGCATCAAACTTGGAAATGTGTGCTCTGCTGATACCTTGCACGCGCGAACTGTTGGCATCACAGGCGTAGCAATTTGCAGCATAAATCAGTCGGCGCTTGGCACGCAGGGACACTTTATTCAACGTTGATTCTACTGGGTCATAAGCCGGTGCAAGTTTTCAAGAACAAACTCGACTGTGGTAATGACAATAGCAATTATAGCTCTGATCACCTACAATGGGTGATTAGCAGTGGTGTTGGTCTTTTCTGACTTCAGCGTTCCACTTGCAGTGCTTGCGATGGGATTGCAAAGTTGTAGAATTTTTGATTTCAAAGTGCCACCAAATCAAGTTGACAAATCAAATTTGAAATATTGTAACTTCTGCAGATGAACATTTGAGACAGCGATAAAAAGGGGTTACCTGTCGTCCTTTGCTCCTAGAAAATTTATGCTTTATCGTTTGTATTTGCGTTTATTGCTTAAATACTTGGTAAAAGAGGGCAGACAATTTCTGGAAGCTTGCAGATTTCCAAAACGAAAAAATTTTGTAGACGAGAACATAGAACAAAACGAAAAATGTTATTGAAAGCGCTTTTTCCTTTGCTTCTATAAGATAGATGTTTACAGGCAAACTGTCTTGAATTTTTTATCATGAGCCATGTCATTTTGTTATTATCCTTCTTTCTGAAGTCGAAGCACCCCTCTCGGCCATTCTTGAAATCATAGATTTATTGGACAGACAGAAGTTCTACTCCAACAGAATAATATCTCTAAAATAATAGCAAATTTTTATAGCAATCATTTTGCGCCGCTAGAAAAATTGTAAATTATGTTGTTACTTTCCCATAACTTTCCCATTGGATGTGATCGCCATTTATGGGAATAGCGAGAAGAAGCTACATGAATATCGCAACACAGCTACGGTGTACGTAAGCCCATGTGGAACTGCTGCACCTATTGACATATCTGACAAATGATAAGGAAACAGATATGAAAGCATCTCAATTCCGATCAAGTTTAAGTAAGTCACTGATATGGAATATCAGATGAATACAATAGCAGTAGAATTTGTAATAGTATAAATTATAAGGCTTTCTTTATTTTCATGGACAAAATCATTGCAAATTCTATTCGTCCCGAAGACTATGACCTCTAAACATTTTTCATGATTTCAACGAACATAGCTCTACGAGAGGAATTCAATATTCAATCTGTCAGTTTATGCAATCGGTTGTTTCCCCTTTCCGCTTAATTGCGAGCTCCAGAGATCCTATGTCGTAGTACTTTTTTGCTTGCTTGCCTTTAAAGATATACTCCGATGGAATTATAATGCCGATCTTTTTCATGCAAAGCTGAAAGAAGATTATCATAGAGCGGAGCCTTGAACGGTTATGCCTACACGAGTGATGCATTTTTGGAGAGTTGCAGGTCTGCATACATCAAATAATAAATCTCCTTACCCCTTTATAATTGCATCTATGGTAAATATTCAGCTGTGGATCAATTTCCGTCACTTCTCTGGCACTGCCTGACATTTTGAAAAAGCCCGATGCATTCGTTTTGCTCTGTGCCAGCTTTCGATCGAAAACTGAAAGTTTAACTTACGGAAATGTTCACAATTTCGCTAGTATGGCCTCACATATTTCCTTTTCATACAGCTTCAGTTTGACTCCGGGAGCAGGCTTCCCATTACATTTCAGGGTGCCCATTATTCCAGCAGACTGCATTCTACCAATGAGTCCGAAGAGGAGGCAAGAGCATAATGGAATGAGGCACAGTAGTATAAAAGCTCGCATTCTGAAATTGCAGGTCTGATTAGCATGATGGAGGAATGGATGACAATTACTATTTCAATATGACATTCAGTTTCACAAATGGCTCCTGAACAGATTTTCACAGGCGTTGCAGGCATTTGTACACATAGAAATGCAGTGGCGAACTGTGTTCAAATATAAAATTTCCTATAGAAATCAGGTTAGCGCTGTAGAAGCTTCCCGGTAAAGCCAGCAAACTACTTACTAAACTTGGCCAATTTTATTCCTTATCCAAAAAATATTCATCGCGCTTTTCCTGTTCTTCCTGTCCACCAATAAAATTTTATGTGACCCCAAAATTTCCTTAATTTTAAGTAATTCTTGAAAGGTAATGAAGTTACTACGTTATTTATTTTATTTACCATAATTAATCATAAAACTTTTTTCCTATAACGATTAGTACCACCTATACGTACTATAGTCCGCAAATTCTCACTTGTGACCTGTTATAATAAATGTGGCCGCTACATCGCCATGCAGTAGCTGTTGCTGGCACTTGTTATTGTGCCTCCACCCACATCCTGAAAGATACCCTTTGTCTCGTTGGCAGTGCCGCCAATGAACGTCGCGAATCAGTTGCATTCACCTCAATTGGGTCTGTGCCGCGTTTGCATTATCTTCTGTGAACATTCCATGCTGAGCATGGAGAAAGCCAACGCATCTTTCAGACTTTGCTCAAAAGCTCCACAAGCTCTTGAGAGAGCCAAAAAGAGCCAGAACATCCTCTGCGCAGAAATGCTGGCGCGAGCTAAATTTCCAACCATTGCTCAGTAAAAACGGCTAAATTTGCCCATATTTATCAAGGTGGGGTTTCCATCATGCTCAGTGTCGGCTCAAACTTACTGGTTGATGCATAATTCTTGCATCAAACAACCGCAACAGTTAACGTTAATTTTTATCTCAGATAACTTTTGCTATGTGTCCATTAACACATTGACGACCGCTTGACACACATGGTGTGTCAAGCAATGACTACCGCGTGGGACCGCTTGACACACCATGTGTGTCAAGGCTTGAATCTTGTTAAAATGACTACCATCTTGGGATAAACTCATTCTATAAGCCTTCTTTTGCATTGAATCTACGGATGACCTCTATCTTTTCTGTCGGCGTTTTAGATTTACTGTAGGTATACTGTAGATGGAAGTATGCGTAATTATAGTTGAAAAATGTGGGCTGGTCCGTAAAAGGCCTTGGTCCCAGGAGGCAGACAACTGAAGATCTGCGTGGTCGTCAATGTGTTAAACCGAAGCCAACTATACAGGGTAATCAAAGGTTCCTGACCTCAGGTACCCAACTGCGAATTCTAGCTTGATTTCTCGTTATATGTGTTTGCTAGACTCGAGGCCATTAAATCAACAGAGACAAAATTTTTTTGCTTCTCCCCAGAAATTCTGGTAGTTACTTTTTTCTCAGTTCCCTTGAAGAGGAGAAAAAGTTTATTATTTGTTTCGTTCCATTTCTTTAGCCTGGGAGAACGGAAACAACTTTTTGTTTTCCTAATCAAAATGGCTCATTGTAAAGCTTGGTCACTTCATATGATCTGAAATGAAGGCCTCAGATAAGGTCCGTAAATTGAACTGGCAAGGCATTTTCATATGCTATGAAAATGTGACCTGACCTGACATGAGCGTCAGAGCACATAATACAGTGATCTCACCTAACTTCCGTGAGAGCAGCGTCGATTTTGAGATGATCTTAAGAAGATAATGTGCAAAGGATGGGATGAAAATATCGTAAGTCGCTCGTGAGTAAATTACGGAATACATAATGTGACATAATATTGCGGGCTAGAGTGCGCGAAACTGCACGTTTTCGGGGGCGTAAGGAAAGAAATAATCGATGAACAGCTGATCGTAGCCAGAAATAGGGGTAAACTAGTTTTTTCTCTTTTTGTATGGTATGCCTTATTTTCGTAAAAAACTGCGTTGATTCAAACTTCTTCTCTTATTCCATTGTCTTTCTCTTCAAAAATTGTGGTTTTTCATGGGAATTTGCTAAAATATCGTTAATTCGTTTTGTTTACCAATCTGCTAAATAAACCTTTTGATTGCGGTCTTCATCGACATTTTGTTACTGGCAGCTATTAATAGCTACGTCGGTGCCGCAAAAAGTTTTCACTAGACGATGTTACTGTTTCTTCTTTGAAAATGCGCATCTTTGTCCTTTCTATAAAACTATTAACATCCAGATCAATAGCTCGCTGGATGCCGGAGCCCTAGGATCAACTCTGGTACGCCTGAAGGGAGATGCCTTACCAACTTACCAATGGACCAGTCTTTCTATAGTCTCTTTTTGTATAGTGAAACTTCTGCAATAGCATGGTCAGAGACTCTTTACATCACAAAGTACAACAAACAATCGTACAGGTTACGTTGAGATTGACTCGAAAGTTTGGTCTTGTCGTGCTTTTGTAGCACAACTCTCTACCTATTACTGTGCAGTTTCAAAACTTTTGCGCGTTTGCAAAAATTTTGGTGGAATCTCTTGAGAAAAATTCGGGAGCCGATCTCTTGTCTTCCAGACACAGCACCTCGTTAAATTCACTTCTGCGGAAACAACAGCAACAAGTAAGAAACCAGAAAAAAGGGCTTTCAGAGGGTATGCAATACAACGTTTCCCATGGAAGATCTTTTCCTCCTTGTAACAAGCGCTCTGAAGAAAGTGACGTAAAAAGAGGAAGTGATTGTGTTTTAACCCAATAATAAATCGAAAAACTGCACAGATGTTTGCTGACTTTGTGGCTTATAGAGCTAATGAGCACAATAAATCAAAAGCGCCTCAAAATCCAAATTGACTGTACTTTTCGATTTACGCGGATTTTGAAGTAGAAAATTGAAAAATTCATGGTTTTTGAAGCTCATTCTTGCTTGCACTTGCATATATAATACAATCCATATCGAGCACTAGCTAGCATATCCGGCTCCGCCCCCCGCCAAATCTAATGATAAAGGCCCATCCCTATTCCTGTACAATCCTCCCCTGTGCCCACTCCCACGGGCAAATTTCCCATCCCCTTTTTGCTTTCAAAGTCAGCGCGCCCACTTACCCCTGTACCAATTCTCAGCCGGTAGCTCGAACTTTGCAAAAAATCGTAAAATTGATAGAAGTAATTAAGTATCGTAAAAAACAATATTGTATTCGTGATCAGCATGACCACTTACCTCTCTCTACCAACTCCAAGCCCCATAGCTCAAATTTTGCAAAAATCGATAAAATCGATATCAATCGATAACAAAACTAGCCTACAACACCTGCTCCGCTCCAAAGTTGTGTGCAAAGTTTGACACGGACTGGTTTAGAGATTTGTATCAGGAACATACCTACTGACAGGCAGACATACAAACAAACATTCAGCTATATATGTAAGAATTATGTATGCAACTGCTGTAATTTTTTCAGGAATCGAGAAAAGGAAGGTTATCATGTTTTTATCAAATCATTGCTAAGCTGTTCGTTGACAGGTGTATACCACTGATATTTGAAAGGACGAACGAGAATTACGTTTTTGACGGTTTCGCATGAAAGCAGATAAGGAAAGCTAGATTCGGTAATTTTCGTGACCTAGCTCTCAAGCTGAAAATGTCATTCTATTTCATAATTATTGCAGTATACAACTGCTAGTACAAGAACAGCTTTCTTTTACAATAACACGAAATCCGCGTTTTCTCAGTCTCTAACCGAGAAAAAAGATACAGCAACTGCATATTTGAATGTCTAATATGGATTGCATATGCATGAGCAAGTTTTTATAGCATTTTTTTTTGAAGCGTTACAAATTTTTTTTATTTTTTGATTTCAAAACTCTTTGATTTGCTTAGTTTCTAACAGATTTTGAGTGGATAAAGCTGGGCACAAACTTTGAACACTATGTTTTAGAGCCAGCTTTTCTCTGACAAACATTTTACAGAAGCTATCTAAGATATAACAAAATGTGGATTATCGCGATTTGTACTACTTTCATGCGCGCAAGCTGGTATATACACCATATATATTACCCCTGCTTTATTGTTTTGTCTTATGCCATTTCTGTCAACGTTGGCGGAATAGCTTGTCCTTTCAAAATATGTTGATTTTTGCATGGTCGATGGTGTTCCCACCGACTCTGTTTCAGCACAACAGCTTTGAGTGGTTCTTTGTTGCGAGAATTTACAAGTAGTGCATTCAGTTTCAACATCATAGTTTCATTCTGATGTGTAGAGTGGTGACTAATCCTATTGGCACCACAAAAATTCAAAAGTTTGAGACACGTTTGCCTTGTGAGGGCTTTCTGGCGCTCTTTGATTGTTTTTGACCGCTTTTGAGAGAGCTTTAAGTAGAGCATGATAGGAAATTTCAATCGCTGCTCAAACGCGAAAAATGGTCAGAGGACATGTTCACAAAGTTGATGCAGAACTCAGGCGAGACGGCCGCGCTAGTTTAGAGCCGCTAGTTTGCGACTCTGTCAATGATTCAGAAGGTAGGAAACTCTCTTGATTCCAAGTATTCTGATCATACAATACATTTCCAACAAGAAAAAAAATTAGATCTTTGCTCTGTCCAGTTTAGTCCATGTCTAAATGTAAGGACTGCCTAGTCATTGCCATCTTTCGCAAATGACCAAACAACCTTGATAAACGAGAGGAAACTTGATTTACTCTCGATTTTTAGTAAAGCTTGAATGTGGAAATGTTCCGCAAACTAAGATCCTGTATAGGTTATTCTAACATGCTCATAATTCGTTTCACAATAATATCAACATTTAGCGCAAAGTTGTATTTGGCTTTGACTTCGGCTTTTTCGCTTCGCTTTTAGCCATTGGCATAAGTTGATACCTAACTTGCAAATCCAATTTTTTGCATTTATGAGATGCTCAGTAAAACCATTGCAATCATGAAAAATGTGCAAAATTTCAGTAGAAGTGGTTTGGAAGGTACGATCAGAAGTTCAAGTGATAAAGCTGAATGCAGTACAAGCAAGACAACAAAATGGCAATAAACAGTATTTCG